CGCATGTACACACACCTGGTGTTTTGTTTGTTTATTTTGGTTTTGGTTTTACTCTGAGCCACTGGGGCCAGGATTCAAATGTTACAGTTGGCCATCTGTGGGATCTGGCTACCTTAACCAGGACTGGCCCTCTCTCTCTCTCTTTTTTAAATGATAGAGACTATGTGTGCAAGAGAATGAAAGTGAGAGAGAGCGAGCGAGCGAAGAACCCTTGGCAACAGGGTCCCATCAAACTGCAAGCCTCCTCCCCTAGCCCTCACACTACTTAATATTCTCAGCAACTGTGTGTGGCCAGCATGTTTTCAGGCTGACCTAGGGATCCAAACCTAAGGTTGGCTATATTGCCTCTTGCCTTTCAGGGCACTTCTGTTACTGCTGCATCACACAGGCTTGGCTTCTTTCTTTCCTTTTTTATAAGGTTTTGCCATAGGGTGTGTGTGTGCTAGTAGGAGAGAAAAAGAGAGGGAAAGTGAGAAATCACGGCCTCGGGGGATGGCCATTCCACAATCCCTTCTCCTCCATTTTCCTCTTGGGATTTTGGGTATACACAAAACTTACCCCATTATGATTTTCAAGCTCCTAGGTCTAGGACTTGAACCATGGTTGGCCTGTGGACATCCAATACTTCAACCAGCACACCACCAGCTGGCCTGGTTTCAGAATTTCTTTTGTCTGTCTTTCCCAATAATTTTAGACAGCACTAATTATAGAACTGTTTTTAAGAGAAAAAGGCTTTTCAGATATACTTATTTAAAGATAGAGCTTGGTCTTGCTCAGGGCCTGGTGGTTAGCATGGCTGGATCCCACATGGCTGACTGTGTGGTCTGAGTCCCATACTTGGTGGCTTGTGAATCATGCCCAAAATCCCAAAAAAAGAGGAAGAAACACAGAAGAAGGGATTGTGGTATGACCATACCCCATGGAAGGTGCTTTTCCACTGTCCTTCCCTCTCTCTTTAAGGTGAGTGGATACACCTTGTGGCAATTAAAAAAAAAGGTGATTGATTGATGCATTTTATTAGAATGGTTTACATTTTAAAATATTTACTCATAAGGTCTCGTAAGGTAAGACAATTGAAAAAGGGTTTCAATTTTGAAACCTGCAAAAGATCTTATAGCTTTTCAGTCTAATTGAAATAGTCTTCTCTAAAAGTCATCTAAAAACATATACTAATCATAGAATTTATTATATATAGTCCATGACAAATATCCTGAACTTCCATGGTCCTTTTCATCTTGCACACTTTATTAAATAACTTAGTTGAGAATTACTAATAATTAGTATTTACATAGTACTTATTTACTACAGTACTACAAAGCAGGACAAACAATTATCATCACCATATTAACAAAGGGAGATGCTGAACCAGCTAGGCTAGCTGTCTAAAGTCACACTAACGCAGGAAACTGCCTAATTCCTATATGGCTCATCACCCAAAAATAACTACCCCTAAGAATCATGACAACAGTTTAGGGAGAAATCTAGAACATACCAGTGCCAAAGAATCATATTATTGAAATGATAATCAAAGACAATTTACTTCAACATTCTTACTTTACAGATTAAAGAAAAAATGAGGTCCTGGAGGGTTATGTAAATTAATTGTTCAAAGTCACACTTCTAGTCATAATAAAGCAAGAATCAGAACCTAGAACTCCTTAATCCAAGTTCAACGAGATCACTACAGTACAAGTTACCCTTAACTGCTATTTCCAATGTTAAGATTTATCAAAACGCTTCAATGTTTTCACTTAAAATGATTAACACAACATTCATGCAACAAATAATTATTCAGTACCTACCATGTGCCAGGCCATGTACTTAGTGTTAAATCTCACTGAATATTTCCCACATGCTAGGCACTGGGTCACCTACATTTTCACACTTAGATCTTCATGATACCATTATCTGTATGTTTACACTTAAATCTGCATGATACCATTATAATCAATATAATACCATTATAATAAATTATCTCTATTTTAAAATTAAAATTTAGGAAGATTAAGTAACCCACCCATTTTCACTAAGAAAATGCCTTTATTTTTTTTTTTTTGGAGAGGTTTTTGCTATAGGGCACGTGTGCTCGCCAGATAGAGAGAGACAGAGACAGAAAGTGAGAAATCACCCCCCAGGGGGGATGGCCACGCCGCAATCCCTTCTCCTCCAGTCTCCTCTCAGGATCTTGGGCACGCACGCACACGCGCCTGGCATGAGTTTTAAGCCACTGGGTCCAGTACACGAACCACGGTCGACTACGTGGGAGTCCAGCAACATAGCCATTACGCTAACTGCTGGTCCCAAGAAAATGCCTTTATAAAAAACTAAATGGAGGGACCAGCAGTTAGCGCAGTGGCTATGTTGCTGGACTCCCATGTAGCCGACTGTGGCTCCAAGTCCTGGACCCAGCGGCTTAAACTCACACCGGGAGTGTGTGTGTACATGCCCAAGATCCTGAGAGGAGAATGGAGCAGAAGGGATTACGGCGTGGCCTCCCCCCTGGGGGGGTGATTTCTCGCTTTCTGTCTCTCTCTCTTTCTGGCGAGCACACATGCCAGACAGCAAAAGCCTCTCCAAAACGAGAAAAAAAAAAAAAACTAAGTGGGGGAGGGGCAGTGAGCAACATGGTGGTTAAGGTGGTGGACTCCCACATGGCCGACCTTGGTTCAGGTCCTGGGCGTGGCAGCCTGCTTTCTCACTGACTCTTTTTCTCTCTCTCTGATCAAATTAAATAATAATAATGGTAATAATAAGAAACAAAATAAAATAAACCCAAAAACTTAAATGGAGCCAGAAGGTGGCATGGTGGTCAAAAATGCTAGACTCCCACATGGCCCACTGCGGTTCAAGTACCAGACCTGGTGGCTTGCTTTCTTATTTTCTCTCTGGTCAAATTAAAACAAAATAATAGTAATAATAAAATAATTCTTTAAAAAAAGTAAATGGGGGGCAGGCAGGTGGTGTGGTGGTTAAGGGCACTGGACTCCCACAGGCTACCTATGCTTTGAGTCCTGCTTTTTCACTTTTTCTCTCTTTCCCCTTCTGTCCCTCTTTGGTCAAATTAAAATAAACAAATAAAGTTAAATAAAATAATAATTTTTTTAAAAAAAGTAAATGGTATAAAAAAACATAAAATGAGCTTATCCTGGGGCCTGCAGGTGGCATGGTGGTTAAGTCTCTGGACTTCCACATAGCCAACTGCAGCTTGAATCCCAGACCTGGCGGCTTGCTTTCTCACTTTCCTTCTTTCTCTCTCTGTTCAAATTGAAAAATAGTAATAATAAATAAAATAAAATAATTATTTTTTAAAAAGAGTTTATTCTAACAACAGTCTATTTTTTTTTTTGAGAGTTTTTTTTTCGCTATAGGGCGTGTGCGCTTGCCAGACAGACAGAGACATAGAGACAGAAAGCGAGAAATCACCCCCCAGTGGGGATGGTCATGCCGCAATCCCTTCTCCTCCATTCTCCTCTCAGGATCTTGGGCATGCACGCACACGTGCCTGGCATGAGTTTTAAGCCACCGGGTCCGGGACGCAAACCGCGGTCGACTACGTGGGAGTCCAGCGACACAACCATTACGCTAACTGCAGGTTCCCCCAATTTTTGTTGTAAACGTTAGAACACCATATGTGACTTCATTTAAAAAAGGACAAAGGAGGGACCAGCAATTGGTGTAATGGCTATGTCGCTGGACTCCCATGTGTAGTCAACTACAGTTCAAGTCCCGGACCTGATGGCTTAAACTCATGTTGGGTGTGTGTGCATTCGTGCCCAAGATCCCAAGAGGAGGATGGAGAAGGGATGGTGGTGTGGCCATCTCCCCTGGGGGGTGCTTTCTTGCTTTCTGTCTGTCTCTCTCTGGTGAGCACATATGTCCTATAGCAAAAATCACCCCCCACCCTCAAAAAAGATAAAGGATCCATCATCAAAAAAGTTTGAAAACCACAAATCCATACATAGTGCCTAATACTAACCAAACAGTAAGTGCAGAACTTAGAATGAGATTAGAGGCTATGGACCCCATGAGGAGAGCTTTGTTGTTTTTTCTCCCCCTTGTACTTTCTAAGATCCCAGAACAGACAGTATCTAAAATGACCTAATTGAAAGCCAATTGCTAGGAAAGTAATCAGAGAACAGAGAAAGGTTCCTAGCATCTATCCTGAGCCCATCTAAAAGAGAGTACTGGTCTCAAGAATATTAAGTCAAGTCTAAATAGAAGAATGCATGACTTCTCTAAGGTATTACAAAATGGTGCCATAATACTGGTTACCTACTTTGAGAGCATAAAATCTCTGTGGTATATGATCAAATTAATTAAAAGTTTCATCTACTGTTTTTCCTTTTTTCCTTTATCTTTGATTGCTAAGTAGATTTCAAAAGGACCATATTAAAAGAAAAAAAAAAAAAACCCAAATGTTAAGTAGTTTGACAACCGTGTAGATTTTAAAATATGCTTTGTAAATAAATAAGAAGCTGACGATATTTCATAAAGCAGCACTTGAAGGCCAACCTATAAGAAAAGAATCTTAAAATATAATTGGAACATAAAGTTTTTTAAGGGAAAGATTAATTTGATAAAGTGGTCTATTGTTTTGGGCACTATTGGTATAGGGAAACTAAACCAAGTAATTGCTGAAAATGATACTCTGCGGGCCAGCAGGTGGTATAGGGGTTAAGGCCCTGGTCTCCTATATGGCTGACAACAGTTTGAGTCCCAGATCTGGTGGCTTAAGACTCATGCAGGGCACGTGTGTATTTGTGCCCAAAATCCCAGGAGAAGAATGCAGAAGGGATGGCAGCATGGCCATCCCCCCTGGGTAGTGATTTCTCACTTTTCCTCTCAGTATCTCTCTCTCCTGGAAGTGTACATGACCTTTGGCAAAAACCTTAAATAAAAAAAAAAAAATAAAAAAAAAAAAAAAGGAAAGAAAAATACTCTGATAAGTACCAATCATAACAGAATTAACCACATGTAGTATTTCTAATATAAATGGTTACCTGAGAAGTCTGTCAGAAGTCTTGCTAGGACATGATTGTTTACCAGTTCAGTCTTGTCAAGGCCAGAAATAATAGCTACACTAGTAGTTTCTTTGATAATAGTGGGCCTTTTGCAAATGCCAGCATCAGATCCAGTCTTGACATCTCTATGTTCTACAATAGAGATGTCATTTGATTTCTGTGGCCAAGATTCTGGGACAAATGTAAAAGTTTGCTTGATTATTTCTTCTGAAGAAGATTCCACTTTATCCTGCATGGAAGCTGACTTCTCAACCTGTCTTTTGCCTATTTCTTTAAGAGCTTTGATTGTGAGCTGCTCTTGTTCTAAATCAAGAGATGCTACTGGAGTATCCTGGGTATGGAAACCATCCAGAAGTTCACCTCCATTTGTGTTTTTGCTTTGTTCATTGTATTTGCTTTTAATGTCTTTACTTTCAGAGTTGCTTGACTCACTTTCATGTATGACTTCTACAGGAAGAGCTGTTTTAAAGTCTGTCATCTTCTTTGATATTACTTCAAAGGCATTTCCTTCACTTACTATTCCTTTCTCTTCGGTTTCTGTAAAGGATGCTATCAGGTCTTCAGGGGAGGAATCGTCTTTATCTTCAATATTTTTTCCATATAATGACTCCAAACAGGCAGAAGGTGTCACATTTGGTGAGAATTCTCTCTCATTAAACACATTTAGAGATGCTTCTGAAGGCAATTTTGGGTTCTCGGTTCTAACAGGCTTCTCAGGAACAAGTTCACTCACACTGCCTGCTTGCTTCACATCTTCAGACATTACATTTATATTGGCGACTTGTGGACACACTGCCTCTCCAACTGGACTCCTTTCAAGACTATCAGGCTGAACTTGATGTGGCTCATAGTCACCAACTGACTCTTCAATAGTATTAGATGTTTTGTTTTCCTTCTTACAATTGGGGATCTCTTTGATTTCTTTTTCACCCGTTTTTACAAGTACTGTAAAAATAGCACTTGGAATGGAAACAGGTTTTTCAGCTGGAATTTTGTTATTTTCAAATGATGTATCTGCTGTGATGTCCTCTATTACTGTGTCATCAGACTCACCAGAACTATCAGCCTCTGTGATTTCTCCCAATGCAGATCTCTGCCAGTTCATTTCATCTTTTAGGTGGTCATCAGGTAAAACTACTTTCACTGGGGCTACTCCAGAACCCAAAGAGAGACATTTTTCATATGGAGATCCTGATAACTCCAGAAGTGTATCGTTTTGTTTCTGCTTGTTGCCTGGTTCACCTTTGATACTGGCTTCCTTTGTGGAATCAAGTTGGTCTGGTATAGGTTTTCCCATGATAACATTTTCTTGTGGGAAGGATGTTTCTATTGATTTAGTGATAGGTGCGCTCCCATTAATAGAACATACAGGAATATTCTGATGAGTGTTAGTTTTAAGATTTACAGTGGGAACTTCTGAATTATTTTCACTGACGTTAAGTCCTGCAGTTTCCGTGATATGGTCAGATTTGTCGATCTGTTGCTTCACTTGGGAAGCCAAATCCCAGGTCAATATTTCATTGGTAAAGTTATGCATGTCATTTACACATCTAGATACCTCTTCCAGTGCTGCAGTTGTGTGTGAAAACTGTCTAGTGAGCAATCCAGAGGTTGGGTAACGCCCTCCCTCCTTATTTCGCAATGGAAATAGTTTGTCATTCGTCTCTGAGATGTCTACAGGTGATTCTCTATCAGTGTGTGGTGCCCAGCTACCAAAACCATTTGTGCTCTCCTTATATGAGTCTTTAAATTCTTTATCAAATGCTGCTCTGTCAATAATTACTTCAAATGGTGATTCAGGGGAATCCTTTTCAATACCACCTCCTGAAAATTCAGATGGAGACAAGGAGTATGTACAAATGCCTTCTGCCTTAGACTGCTCAGTGAGTGGTTTCTGGGATGATAACAAAGTGAATCTGTCATCAGTATCCAATCCAGTTTCATCTTCCCTAC